AATATTATTTATATATTGTAGTAGACGAGTATGGACGACATAACGCTAGGCGTCTGTTACTCACTCTAGAGCTATCGTCTGCAACAGATATCCAAGAGAGTACCACTGCTACATCACAACATCCACTAAGTCATACCGTCCACACTACTAGCGCACTCTCTATGAGACGACTTTCTCGATCTTCTATCGCAGGCACCCTACTATCCACTCTGTCATTATTCATACATCAACTCTATCCACCACTATTCATCATCAACAGACTCTCAAACCACACGCATCATATTAGATCGTAACTCGCGCAGGGCACTCGCCAATCTGCAATCTGTCACCATGGATGCGGTTGAAGATGGACTCTTGGGGGGAGTCACACCATCCACCCTGCAGTGCCTGGCACAATCCACCACACTGGAACAATTGCATCTCCATGGAGTCATTCTCCATGACACGTGTCTCACCCAGTTAGCCCTGGGCCTGGGTAACCGTAGCACGGCCCTGAAGGACTTGTCGCTCGATCTCCTCGCCGGTGGTTCCCTGCCGCTCGCTCAAGCCTTGGGTGCCACTACCACCTTGCAAAGACTTCATCTCACATTGACACACTCGTGGACCGATGCCACCTTTTTAAAAGCTCTCGCCCAGGCTTTGTCACATAGTCGAGGATCGCTTCTCACGGTCAAAATTGGAACATGTGCTGTCCTGGATGATGCTACGGCTGCCGTTTTTGTGGAAATGCTGCAACATCACAATCATGTCTTGGAAGAATTGCAGTTAGGGCGATACCGGGGCATTTGGAAACCACACTTGACGTACTATCTCAAACTCAATCGGCAAAAACGGGGGTACTTTCACGCCAACTTTACCAGGCTGACCAAACAACGGTGGATCGAAGAGGGATTGATCCCCGTGCGACATGATCTAGAGGGCATCTTTTACTTTTTGCAAATGAATCCCATCTTGTTGAGTGAGTGAACAATATTTGGCTTTTTTGTCAGTACAGCTTGCGGACAATGGGCGGATCACACACACTCTGCTTGGCGCACCAGCTCTTGACCGAATGGTTGTGGAGATGAAAGCGGCTGTTGCGATGTCGACTTCCGACCATGGAGTTCCATTGGATTGCTCATCATCAATGCATACATGCCTTTTCATAATGTTACGCTTAAAAATTACATCTTTGCTAGCTACCTTCTCTTAAGTAGCAGTCTTACAATCTGCATTTGAAGAAGGAAGTTTACTGCAAGTCCTCAGACACAACCTCATGGACAGAAACTTCTACAATCCCCCAATTGCTACATCTGTGCCCTCTCCCAGCAGGTGGGCCACCATGCATAATCAAGGAACCTTGCTTCTTCCGGCATTTTGCTGTGAGGTGTACTACATGTATGTTTACTCGTACCACTAGCTAGTTAGTACATGCCTGCTTCGGTGCAGTACAAATGAGACTATCTCCACTGCAAGGCAAACAAAACTCAATTTTCATATTCCCAAATGATGTTCTGCACAAGTCACAACTCTCATTTGCCCTTGTTAAAGCCACTCATTTATGTCTCGTGTGGTCCTCAAGTCAAAGCCCTTCTGGCCCTGTCGTTGGTCCCCATTTGTCGGCCCCCTGATTGATCCATGGAACCTAATCCCAAATTTGCGTCTCTCTTTTCCTACCCCCTGGCCCTGACTTCCATGGAACTTCCCCCTACGCTAATAAGACCCCGCTTATGACTTTTCCTCAACTAGCTACGGTAGACTAGCTTGCATGCACAGTTTTGTTTTATTTTCTCGAATTAAACGATGTATTCCATATTTTTATCTATTATCACCACGCTGCTGTAATGTAATTACAGTATGCTTGCTACGCTGCTCCACCACAACACCAACGCCACACGCCCCAAAAGTTGTTGACCATGACACGACTTGAGATTGACTACACAACAACCGTAGAGGAAGGAGTGGCTGCATGTGTGTCTGCGTGAACTTCAGATCTTTCCCCTCTGCTACTGGTTGTGCCGGCGCCCATTGGAGATTGTGAAGCCGTGTACCAATTTGACCCATAACCATGAATGATGATATCTTTTTGGATGCATGCCGGCACACTGCGAGTCCGGAGGTGATTGAGTTTCTGAAGGAACTGGTGACACCTGAGGTGTACAAAGCTGAGGCAGTTGCTGCAGAAATGATAAAAATACTCAGAGATGATGATCGATTCAGTGAAGACGCTTTCAGTATCTTCTTCCCGTTGTTTCCTGGAGCCTCTTTGACGTTCGTAGAAGAATGTGATAAGACCCCCTGTCCTTTGCCTGCAAACAGGAAAATATCAAGGAGGCTACAATTACCAAGTTGATACAGTCGATCCCCAGCAATACCACAAGACTCTATCTGCCCATTCGCGGATATAGCTTTTTACCAAAGAGAGATTTGAGATCAGCATTGAATACGAAACTTCAGGAAACGACAAGTTTCAAGTGTTTGACATTGACACTGAATCATGAAGACCAAATTGATAGAGATCTGACGGAAACAGTGTGCAGCCTTCTGACGGCAGGGCAACTTGAATCTCTATCCATTACATGTACCCAAACTTTCTTGGGAGGCTTTCTGCCACTTTTTGATGCAATGGCAGGGGCTGGAAGCGCCTTGGCCCTGAAATTCTTTCGAATGAGCTTATATGAAAGCACACAACAAAAGATATATGCGGATCGCATCATTGAGATATTGAAGACAAATTTGACGCTCCATACTGTGTTAATTGAGGGATTGCTCTTGGGATTTCTTGAGCCCGAACAGGAGAAATTGATTAATTACTACACATCGCTGAATCGATTTGGAAGAGCCCTGGTGCAAGATCCAGAAATTCCGCTACAGGATGTTGTGGAAAAGATTGCACGCCTCAATCTGGACACGAAATACTATGATTTTCCTCTCTCTCCATGTTACTACAAATGCGGCGTACCAGTGCTCTATGGGATCCTCAGAGAAGTTCCTGGAAAGTGGATTGACCATGTGGTGGAGGCAGAGAGGAAGAGGGAAGCACTACCAAATTGCAGTCTGAAACGGAAAGCCTCTGCCTGATTCCGTTGATTTAAGCCGTGTGGGTTGATCCAGCCTGGTCCCCCCGTTTTATGGCTGTACTTTGTGCTCGCGTTGGCTCGTTTGTGTTGGTGCGTCCTCGGCACTCATGTTTATCTTTGCTTTTCGAGGATTTGAGTCTCGCATGAGACGGTGTTGCTTCCAGTGTGCTTGTTTGTTTCGACACTGTGTCTATATCTCACAAGGAGGCAACGGGCAGCTGCATCTCTAACTAACAAGTACAAAATGACGTTTCAATCTCCACGTAGATGTATGGTGGCACCGAGCCCCCGTCTCTAGCTAGCTGGACCCTACACAATCATGTGGGCGTGACCGGCCATTCACTGGACCGTCTACGCTGCCATACGAGAATGGCCATGTGGAACAAATGCCTTCAATCTCAGCCATACAACGAAAGTCGCGCTGCTTGTGGCTTAGGCAATATCGGGTAGCATCAAGACAAGTACAACCTAGCTAGCACTCCCAGTGCGAACAAATGCCGCCCCCAGTGAGACAGAAAGCTAATAAGAGCAACGGCGCCAAACGGCTCTTCGCACAAATTTTGCAACTTGCAATCTGGAGCTATACAAAGTATGCACTACCGTATGCATATTATGACACGCTGGTAGCTAGCTAGCTAGCAATGGTCTAAATTTATTCCTCGCCAAAAACATCTTCAAACCCTTTTCCACTCTGCAGTCCGTAAAATGCCTTCAGCTGTCCAATGGGGCCATTTTGAGAGGGCATGGAGTCAGCGGAGACTCCTTGTCCCATGACACCAAACTTGCACCGTGTTCGAATGGATTCCAATTCTTTCCGAATGGCACCAAAGTCTGACACGGCCGGTTCACCGTCTTGTTCGGCACGAAAGGTAACCACCTTGTCTTGTGGATTAATGATGAACTGCAGATTGTCATTGAATATGGCCGATCGGGTAGACTTGATTTCGAAATACAGGGATTTGCCATCACCTTCGCTCTCTTTCTTGACAATATCCAGAGCAGAATCCGAGGCAACCACGCCCTTCAAGCGAGCTGCAGCTTCTTCCGCAGATGATTCAAACGTCCATGGTGGGGCATACAGATCCAGTTGTTTGACATTTTTAGTTGACACGCAATTCGTGACACCACCGGAGGGATCCTTGCGGCAGGCTTCAATAGTGGGAGGGGCAGGTGCAGGTGCGGCCTCTTCGTCGGCCCATACAGGAGGAGTCAGGGTCAAGAGACCCGACAGGAGAATGCCGCCAATTACCATGGCCGATGGCCTTCTGATGATTATTTCATCGGCAGGAGGAGACTGTTGCTGCAATTGAAGGGATCTTGTGGCGTCTATCGGATGTCGAGGGACGAAACCAAGGCTTCCGACAGGCAGCAGAAGCACAAGCAGGGAAGATATCAAAGATTTTCCCGTCATGGTTGATCTGAACTTTGTGTGCTTTCCTTGTCGGGCTGTTGTATCTGCTGTCATGGTTGGATCAAAAGTGATGGAGCTCTATGACGTACGTGTCACGAACAAAGCGTGTTTGAACTGGTCTATTCAGGAGTTAAATCTTTGAAGACTTATCTGGTGAAAATTTCAACCTTGAAACAAGAACTCGATCGAAAAGGAGAAGAACTGTCGCTCTGACACGCGAAGTTTCTTGCTCCAGACCAACACAACACGTTGTTGCCATCCATTCCAATACTCTCATGTTCCAACCACGATGAGCTCTCGACACCACCACGATTACTCTTTAGGAGATGTGTCTTCCTCATCGTGGCAAGAGTTGAGTTTTGCCAGTGCTCATAGCTCGTGTGGCAACGAAATGTGTCCTTGTAACTCCACAACTTTTTGCCAAGACGTTTGCCCGTACACGGACAACAGCAACATGATGGCATCAACTGGAGATAAGGTCTTCTACGAGGAAAATCAGGCCGGTTTGACTTCTTTGCCGGGGAGTTTGCTGCCTTACTTGGGTTCCTTCCTGTCGGTGAATGACAGTACCTCCATGGCCATGGCCAATCGTCATCTGTACCAGGAGACTCGCTGGTACCAGAGTGACAACAATGCATCCGTGCACTGCTTCCAACGGTCAGCGGTCGTCTTTCAGTTGGTCCGGGAAGCTCGACTTCCTCTTGTGGATGAAATCAAGAGTAGCTTACAACCCTACAAGTTTCTCTTTCAAAGCCCTCTCTACGGGACCATTCAAGTTGATCTGGCTATTGTCCATCAACCCCCCGGGGGATATGAACCTGGTACTCGCATACTACAAAGATCCTTCCCTGATAATGAGTCTCTCAGCGGCAATGAGGATTGGAAGAATCTTCGCATGCGAGTGAACATTCAAAAAAGATTCCCAAACGACCATCCTCGTGACGACAACCAACGTGCCACAACAACTCCCAAGACGATCTTTCGCTTTGATGAATCCATACCCAGGTGCACCATTTACTTTGAGTCCAAATATATTTCCAGGCAATGGAAGGCAGGACACTTGGGGTATCTGTTGCGACTTTGTGCCACGAGAGCTGCAATGTTGAAAACACCACAAGAAGGCAGAGATGTTGGCTGTATGCCAGTACCCAATGTGGATGATGTCGTTACAAAACTCCAAGCAGCGTTGCGAAAACACATCATTCGGGACGTGGGAATGTCAAAGGACTCCGAATGACTAAGACAGAATCAAACCAACAAATGAACTTGGGCTGGTGAAAGGAAAGATAATCTAGGTTAGTACGCAGCATTCGGGACGTAGGTAGTGTCAAAGGTGTCGGCTAAGCAAACGAACTCGGGCTTGTACAAGACAAGCTGAACTCGGGGAAGTACGTTGAATGGATGCTTTGCAAGCATCAGTGTTCAAGTTTCTTAAGCTAAATCAATTGAGCTATTATGTATAACGTGCAGTTGTGAGTAGCACCTGCGTTGGGCACCACCGCGTATATGCAATTCTACCGGTATGAAATGTTGCCAAAGCTTAATTGGAGGACATGCCTCCTTGGCCTGAGCCTTGAGTAGGTCTGTGAAAATCGTCATGAGACTGTCGCAGGGATCGTACCTAGTTGGATCAGTGATCCCCGGCCATTTGTCACCTGCATGACACTAGCGTTGTATCAGCTCGCTCTCGCTTACTTAAAGGTCTGTGACGTCTTTCAGCCCTTCAAAAGCTCCTTCGTCATCTCCGGTGCCAGAGCCTGAATAACGATAACTGCTGTTATTGGAGGAACTGCTGCTGTTACTGCTGGGAGGCATCGCTTCATCCATATGCGCCGTGGGTAGTGGCCTCAACGGAGGTAGGCTAGTACCAAGCTCATCTTGGCCATCGTCGTTGTTACTGCTCGTGGTGCGGCTATTGCTGCTTGTCTCCGTGGGGCTGCTGGGGGTGGGAAGCGCAAAGCTATCTTGGTAATAGCTCCCGTTGTTGGAAGAGGACGGCGAAAATGGGTTGGCAAACGGGTCTGGCGCATTGGCATAAGGGTTGGGAGGGGCAAAAGGGTCGCCACCGGGAGGGGCAAAAGGGTTGGAATCCGAGAATCCCGTCATCCAATCGGACGAATACCGCAAATGCTCGGGCGTGGCATCGGACCCATTTTCGCTCTCGCTGGTATCAGTAATGGGAGGGAAGCGAGGAGGTGTTTGTCCTGTGGCCGCTGCTTCGGCCAAAGCAGCCGCATGCCCGGTCGTGTAGCGAGGACTTTCAAACGGCAATTTGAAGTCCGGTTCGATGGACGATCGACGACGACCTCCATCATGTGAGTAACGACGGCCACCATTGATGGACATTCTTTGTTTCTTCGCACTTTGGGGTTTGCTTTTCTTGTTGAATCGATTGACATTCTCATTGAGTGACGCTCGTTTGGATTTGTCGTCTCCGCCCAAACCCCAAAACTCCCAGAAACTGGTCATGGCATCCTTTTTGTCCTTGTCAGGATGCCGAATGTCGGCCAAATCAAAGCGCACTGATTTGTGGCTCGTCGCGTCTTCCTCCCGCTGCTTCCATCGCGCTTCCGTGGCGTTGCGGTATTGTTCCTTGAGTTTTTCCTGTCGAAGACGGTATCCGTGCATCATCCCATAACCCAGACAGACACACAATACGAGAAGCAGTGCAATCAAGGCGTTCGTTTCAAGGTCTGCCAGCCACAAGAGCTCTTGCTTTTCGTGGTTCTCCTCCTTTGCTTCTTCCTTTAATTCCTCCTCTTCTTGTTCAATCTCTTTCTTTTCCTCTTCGAGCTGCTGCAGCTCTTCGTCTTCTTGGTCTTTCTCCTCTTCCTTTGGTTCCTCCTCTTCTTTCGGTTCTTCTTGTTCTGGATCTTCCTCCATTGGTTCCTCTTCCTTCGGTTCCTCGACTTGTTCTGGTTCCTCCTCCTGTGGCTCACTCGAAGTCTCCAAGATATTGGGCGGGTAGGTGGCAAGCACAATTTCTGATGATTCCGTGGGCGTAGCTTCTTCTTCTGGGTTGGAATTGGATGACTCTGGTGGTGGTGGCGGCGCATTCGTATTGGTTGCGTCCTCCGCTGGCTCATCCCCGAAAATAAACGGCGGATACGTTGCCGATTCTCCATCCTTTTCTTGTTCTATTTCCGTCGGAGGAGGAGTCTCGTTATCGTAGGAGGATTCTTCTACTTGTTCCGTAGCTGGTGGTTCCACTACTACTTCTTGTGGACTGGTCACTCCTGCTTGGGGTAGTAAGGGTTCTTGGGGTGTCGTCACGGGTGGAATCGCAGTCGTTGTCGTCGTCATACCGACCCCCGGCTGTGCCAACATGGCCATGTCAAAGGGTCGTCCATCGCATTCCAACATCCACAGACACTTGCGCGTATGAGCACACGGTTGACAAATGGGACATGCCAATGGCAACATTCCCGTTTGTCGTTGATAAACGCGACAGACATGATCCAAAATGGACGATACAGTCCACGGCGGCGAGTGGAAATCATTTTCGGGAGACGGAAGACCGACATGCATCAATGGCAACTCTTGTGGCGTGTAGAGCATGTGTTTTTGGCGCTTGTCGACTTCTTCTTGCAAATGGACATTGGGTGTATCGTCGTCGAATCCTCCGGCCATATGCATGCAATTTTCCACGGATTGCGTCGAGACGGACGATGGTAACTTGTGTAAGGCTTGCAGCGCGCAATTCTCCCAACTCATGCGGGTGTGACTGCTCGTGTCGGAAGCGGAATAGCACGGAGAGTCGTGTAGAAAATCCAAGTATTCAAAGAATTTCAAGTCGGATGCCTTGTAGAGTTCGGCAATACACATGCGTCGCAAGGTCTCCAAGACGACATCGCGCCCGAGAATGCGTTCTTCGGGTTGCACTGGATTAATCGGGGGCGGATTCATGCAGTAGCGTCCGGCGTTGGTACAATCGCGACGACACTTTTCCGAATCAACGGGCAATTCGACGGTGCGTCCGGTATCGGGATCTTCCCGCAGCGTGCGACATTCGAATTCGAGTCCGCTGGCAATGTAGTAGTGCGGATTGACGTGAATGATTTGATTCTGTCGTCGAAAGCGATGGACCAATCCTTTGAGCATGGCAAAAATGGCAAATGTTTCTTCGTAATTGGCTACATTGACGGTGATTTCCAGCCCCAGGGGAGACGCAATCACGGAGAGTTCTTCCTTGAGTGCATCGGAAGTGGCGGGTGGATACTGCACATAAGTGGAGCGCTCTTCGGACCAACCGGAAACGGGAGGAATCGATTGGTACCAAGGTGCTACAGCTACTTGTTGTTGTTGCAGTTGACGCTGTCCACGAATATTCGTCGAGGCATGGACACTACTTGGTAGAAGTAGCAGAAGCAGTGCCACGCAGAAGTGGAGACGGCGGTGTGCCAACGATAACGTCATCGTCCTCTCTCTTCAATATACTACTCTGTCTTTGCTCTCTAGCTAGCTACAAGCTGGGCTTTCGTTGTGTTGGTCTTCTCTCGACGCTGATGCTACTACCGCCTCGAGTTACAAACAGTACAGTGTTGTTGCTTGGTTGGTGCTTTTCTTGCTGCTGTTGTTGCTGCACTGCGAAAGGAACAAGAGGAAGCATCGTAAATTTTTCGCACCAATTTGCGGCACGCCTCCTTAAATCGGAGAATCCACTTGCGGTCACTGTAGGTCATAAAAAATAATTAGAGAAAGTCGCACAAAGGTTATTCGCGCCAAATAGTCTGACCTTCGCACGCGCTGCTTCACCATCCATTTCTCATTCACCAACATCCACCCTTCCAACTTCCAAAGCTAACATAAGTTAGTTTGGATCAAGGATCCAAAGATTGCCGTGATGATGGACCGCGACGACAATGATGATGTCGATGAGGCATCCTTGCTAGCGGCTGCGGCTAGTTGGGCAGCTGCGCCCTCTGGTACTGCTGCTGCTGCTACTACTGACAAACCAGAGAAAAAGGGTGATGATGAAGCAAGAGCTGACGATAAGAGCAGTTTCCAAAAACACCATCACCACCACAAGAACAGCTACTCCCTCCATGTGACCCAACTCTCGTACGAAGCTTCCGATTACGATGTGCGCAATTTGTTTTTAGGAAAGGGCTGTTTGGTGACATCGGTACGACTGGTCTACAAGAAACAACCGGATCATCGTCGTGTCTTTTCGGGGGTCGCCTTTGTCGATGTCGGAGACGACGAATCGTATCAACGCGGTCTCAAACTGCATCGGACGCATCACATGGGCAGACGCATCAATGTCCGACCCACACTGACCGAATCCGAATTGGGAAAAATTGCACTCGCCACCAAAGAGCGAATCCAAGAACTCATTAGTTCCCAACAGGCGAAACAGGATGAACAACAACAACAAGACAAGGACGAAGGTGATAAGAATGATGACAAGGATAAGAAGAAGAACGAAAGAGACAAGCAGCCGAAAGAGACACACAAAAAACACAAAAAGCAGAAGAAGGCTGACACCCCAAAGAGCAAGAAATCAGACAAACAGCAAGAGGAAACGACAAAAGTAGATACGTCCTCTGACACAAAAGACGTCGACGACGCTAAGAAGCCTTCATCGGACAGCAAGAGCAAAAAGAAGAAGGATAAGAAGAAAAAGGTCACTGTAAGGAGGGGTCGCCACACGGGTGAAAAGGAAAAGCTTTCCAAAAAGGAACGAAACCGAAAAGCGGCCATTCTCATGCAGAGAAAACGAAGGGGCAAAAGGTAGCATGTCTACTTACCAGAAGGACAAGTACAATCTTCAACTTTGTGAGATTGCACCAATACACTCTCCACACAAGATGCATGGACATGTGGAGAATTCAACGATAACTCTACTCGGATTGTCTGCCTGTCTCAAGGAAAGAAAAGAAACCAAGATGTGAGTGCCAAATGACCTTTTGTTTTGTTGTTTTTGTGTGTTTTTGTGGTGGTGGTAGCAATGATTATGAATTTTTATGTCGCCTTCTATACAAGTGTTTGAGCCGCGGCATTTCGGTGCTGGAGTTCGCAGGCGTATTATATGGAGGTGATCCGTACAATTCCAATGTTGGTGTGGAACAATCAAGCGACCATACTCTCTGAGCTACTACTACTGATGGATACCTTGTTGATTGGATAGATACTTTGTTGAACGCAAATCTATCTTGAACCGCACTCACAAACTCCCGTTGTCTTCATACACATTGTTTTGCGCAGGCAATCCTCTCATCCCGGAGCGACTGAATGCTTCGATTCAATCGACACTTCCTGGTTAGTGGGTGCCAAAGATAGGCCTTGCTATACCGGTAGCAGATGAAGGACTGTCTGCACAGAACTCTTGTCTGCATCACTTGAAAGTTGGTCAGACCCGAGGCCGGCTTCTTGCCAAATCGTACGAAGGCAAAGCGACAACAAAGCTGAAGCGGAACGGGTTGGAAACACCCGACACGATCAGACATTGCCCTCACAGGTTCCAGCATATCGATTTTATTCTTGTATGATCCCGTTGAATTGGCAAAACGGTTCTCGCTAGAAATAGCCAATTCGCTGCATGCCGGGGGCGCCCAGCGTTGTGAAGTCACTTACTTCTGCGATTTCGAAGTCAAGTCCACCTTCCGAAGTTGACAACAAATCTTAATTAAGTGACTTTGGATCAGTTCAGTATAGTAGTTACGGCTCGTTAATGCCGCTAGTTAGATCTCAATCACTCTAGCCAGCCCTCGTTTGATTCTTCGCAAGACACGAAAGGTTCTATTAGTCTTCGGACCCCCGAGGGCTGCAGTATGAATTCAGGAAAATAGCTGCAGAGGGTTTCACTGCTTGCTGTCCTTGCCAAACAGCTTGTGGCCCAAGGAGCGATATCGTTCAAAGGCCACTTCATACGCCTTGAAGTTGTCTGGGCTGGGCTTTACTTCAGCGGGTTCCATTTCGATATTCTGTTGCAACACATACTCCTTTACGGATGTCCCTGTTGCTGCTGCACCGGCTTGAAAAGCCGCCCCCAAAGCAGCGCTTTCCGTCTCAACGGGAAAGACCAGGGGACACTGCAGCACGTCCGCTATCATTTGTCTCCAAAACGGGTTCTTGGCTCCTCCGCCGACTAACAAAACTTTATCCAGCTTCTTCCCAGATGGAAAGTACTGAAGCGTATCTGCGAGACAAAATGTGATGGCTTCCATGCAGGCTCGATACCATAAGAGACCTAAGAGATTGTTATCTCCATTCGTCATTGTTTGTTGCGTCAACCCCAGCAAGGCTCCCGTGGCATGAGGCCAATTCGGCGTCCGCTCTCCTCCTAGAAAGGGCAGAAATGTCAGACCATTACAACCAATGTCAATGGATGTGCTTTCACTTAATCTTTCACATGCATCTTCGTGAGTCCATCCTTTGGGACAGCATTCCCGAAGCACTTGCGTCAGCACTCCCGTGCAGCTCATGGTACATGCCAGGGGCAAATGCTGGCCACAGGCACTGCAAAATGGAGCCAGCGGTGTGTTCAAAGGAGCAGGAGTATCACTGACGCCAAACAGAGTTCCTGAGGTCCCCAAACTCATGACGGCCATACCTGGAAGTACGCATCCAACGCCCAAAGCAGAACACATGTTGTCTCCTGAACCAGCCGACACTGGAATTGGCTTATCATCTGAAATACCCAACAGTCGACGGAAATGGTCGTTCAAGTACCCTGCAACCTCATTGGGTTGGATGATTCTGGGTAGTTTGTCATGGAGGGTAGGATCAATATGATCTGCGAGCGATGCAATGTTGACCCGAGTGGTGGTATCCAAGAAGCCGTTGCCACTGGCATCTCCGGCATCCGTGACGGGTTGTTCTTGTAGGGATGCCAATTCCATTACTATATAGTCATGTGGCAGGACGAACCACTTTGCTCTCTGAAACAATTCTGGTTCATGCTGTTTCATCCAAAGAATCTTCGGGCTGGTAAATCCTGGCGTCAAAAAGGTACGGTCGTACCCGGCTTTCCGTGCCAACGTTTGGAGTTGTTCCGTCTCTTCGGCAGCTTCGACATCGCACCAAAGTTTGGCAGGCCGCAGTGGCGTGCCGGCACTATCCAGTGCCACCATGCCGTGTTGCTGCCCACTGACACCAACTCCAGAGACTTGGTAACCGCCAATCTGACGGCCAACACTTTGCAAGCAATCTTCCACAGCTGAGACCCAAACAGATGGTTTTTGTTCTGCTCGTCCTTGTACATGACTTGGTTCCAAACCATACGATACAGAAGACCGAGCAACGACACGCCCTTCGTGCGGACAGTAGACCAAACACTTGGTGCCTTGTGTACCGACATCCAGACCAACGAATACTTCCTTGGAAGGCACTGGCTCTGGCTGTTGTGAGGATTTCAGTGCCCATGAAGACAACAAGGCGTCGCCATGGAGAAAATTAAAGCATACTACACAAACGAGTAGCCTGAAAGGTGGTATCATTGTCTACTACCCAGTGCATACAGCAGCCTCCTCCATTGGCACTGTCTTCGTCACTCTTTCCTTTGGATCCTTTTCTGAAAAAACGGTTGGATCTTTTGCTTTGAAGCCCGCGAAGCTGAATGGGTTTGCGCGCGAAATATCTCCTAGCTAGCTAGCTATTGATAGCAAAGTCAGAGGACATTTTGCTCGCACAAGACCGCAAACGCCCCAAGACAGATGAAAGACAGAGATCTTTGTACCCGTTGTTGGGTGAAAACGTCAACATTGTCAACAACGAGAATGTCTGGAAATGAGTGTGGAAGATTTGGAGGAAAGGACATGTGGAAAAACTCGCAAGCAGCAATCAAACAGAGCAAGGAGAGTCAGCTGAGGATCTTGTCTGCGACAAGGACAAGAAGAAGGATTTAGTAGGGACCAGTTGTCATGAAGGTATTGAACTTTTTGGAACCCTCAATGCACATACTGCTGTTTTCCCCAGGAAGAGGCGACAGGGGAGTGCTACATGTAGTATTGGAATTCATTCCAATGATGTAATGGGTGTTGAGTAAACCATGATTTTGATTTTGCTAGTCCTTTGTCAACTCATTTGTTTGAATTCTTTGATAGACATGGTCAATTTTTGCTCGTCTCCAATGCGCTTCTTCTGTCCGACGAGCCTTGACGATGCGGAGCATTACCGGCTCAAAGGTGGCCGGGACACAACCTCATTGCGATTTCATGCCCTCTTACACATCATCCAAGCGAGGCTACCTGCGGCACTGATTAACTAGCCTCAGAGCGCACGGTTGAGAATTTCCGCCAGGAATTGGAAGCTTTAGAGTAGCAAAGCCTCACTGCAGAGAGTTTTGACTGCGATGACCGTCACCCAGTCACCCTTGAGCCAACCCCCAGTGTTCATTGCCTCGTCATAGCAGCTCAATGAACTACGGTGAAAAATCGAGTTTTTTTACTGTAGCTGTTGAACCCAGTCACCCTTGAGCCAACCCCCAGTGTTCATTGCCTCGCCATAGCAGCTCAATGAACTACAGTGAAAAATCGAGTTTTTTTACTGTAGCTGTTGCAGCAGTGAGTGAAAATCTGGCAACTGTGCTGCCCATGCCCACCTGGCATGAAGATTTCCAGCAGCTGCCTCGTCAGCTCATTGGCATCTAAAGGGTGCTGTTTCCTTTCTAGTTCGTTGTCGATTGCTAGTTTCATGTCGATTGCGGTTGGCAAGATGCTGATGGCTGCCGATTTGGCGTGACAAAGTGACAAACAATCAAACGATGAATCTACCGTACTGCTGGTAGCTATAGCCCAAGATGCAGGGACAGCTTGATAGCCATGACACACTAAAATGATGGACTTACTACATGTACCGGTATAGTGTTACCACTGTACCAGGTGGCCTGTCTCTTTCTTTGTTGCCTTCGACGGCGGTGTCAAGTCGTCAGCTCAGTCGTGATCCATAGCACTGCAGCAGAAAGAGAGGCAAGTTTTGTCTTCAGGCGAAAGGATATGGCTGCACTAGTGCTCACAGTGGGACTTGCTGTGGAAGGGCCAACAGTAAGGCTAGCAGTTGGCTCAGGAGTCTTTTGAGAACTGGTAACTTTGGCGTACATGGTCATCATGGCAGAATCCACATCCAAAGTTGCAGTACTTTCGGGTCCTCGGCGGAAACTGATAAAGCTTGGTGGTTTCGATATGACAACTTGATAAATGTAGCTTGCATTGGTAGGAGATCCCCGAGCAATTTCTTCTTCTGAATAGTCGCAAGGCTGGGGAGGATTGGCTTCGGCCTGGTTGACAAAAGCACTGAAATCTGTATCGGGAGCCAAGTGGAAGCACTCGAACAACTCGTCCCCCGCGTCAAAGTAGCATCGTCGGTTCCACACCTGGGAGACGCCATCGCCTTCCATGTCCACTCCCGGCCCAAAGCCTCCACAGCTAAAGATCACTGCATGATAGAAATCCTCCTCTCCGGTTGTGTAGTCTTCACAGGTGAGCGCTGTGCCATCGTCGATTACGCTGCTCACACTCCCACCGTATTGGAACCAATTGGGACACGAGTAAGAGTGACATACGCCATCGACACCACAAAACTCCCTCCCGCAATCATACAGATCTGTGCAGTTGTTGGTCTGAGCACTCGCCGTTGCCAAGATCAACAGACCCAAGAACAAGAAGGAAAGCGTCATGGTCAGGTTTGTTTCGATCTAACACTCGAGTGCTACTACTCGGTCTCCGCTGGCTGCCTCCGAGCGGCCTCTCTTTGCGCTGCAGCTCATGCTTTCGCAAGGTCACGTCCACCATCGCCGAAGAGAGAGACATCAATAAGAAGCAGAAAGCAGCTGGCACTTCTCAGCTTTCCGTTGGTTTGAAAGCAGGCATTGAAGGTGCCGTCCATACGGCAAATCATGTTTGGGATCATCACCTTGGCTCATCTGACAGTCTCGACTCTGATTTTGGCTTCCTTATTATAGATGCTTCTAACGCCTTCAACGAATTGAATCGAACTGCCATGCTTTATACAGTTCGCCATCTTTGGCCCGAAGGCGCCCGCTTTACCTTCAACAGTTACAAACATTGGTCCCTTGTTATTTTTTCACGACTCCACCGCTGGAACAGCTCACATTATCCTCAGCTCTGTTGGAGTCGTGCAAGGTTATCCTTTAGCCATGTACTGCTACGTTTTAGCCTTAGTTCCTCTCATTAAACGGCTTCACCATGAGTTTCCTCACCTTTTGCATCTCTGGTATGCCGATGATGCCAATTCTGCCGGCAAATTTACTGATTTACAATTGCTTCTAGGCCGTCTTATTCGGCTAGGCAAACCATTCGGCCACTTTGTTCAGCGCAATAAATGCAAAATTATTACTCACAGTGCCAATTTTCA